GTCCCAAAACCAAACCAAACTAAAGCCAATCCAACCCAAACCAAGACTGACCTAAGTAGGACAAAGTATTAAGATTTTTTAAAGCTAAATTTATGTTATTCTCTGCAGTTTCTATATGCTTGAAATACCTCATATTTCTAAACGAAGTGAAAACTACATCAGATTCCCATTCAAAAAGTCACGCAACTGTACACGTTCACTTCCAAAGGAAGCTGAAGTGCTGGACCTAGTAAAGAAACAGGGATTAGAACCAAGCACATGGCTCTGTGATTGATGGAATATACCAGGAAAGAAAAAAGAGGTGCAACTAATTTATCATGTATAAAACAACAGGGGAAAACATGTAAGAAAATTTCCTAATCAGTTTCTACAAATTCTAGAGCTATGCATTTTGGGCAAGGAAAACCTCAGAAGTCCCCAAGCAATTTAAAATCTAATACTCTAACAGAAATCAATCGGCTTTTCCTATTCTTTGGTCAATAGGTGCTCAAGTCTGCCTCTAATGTTTCAGACAGTGTGAACTTTTATTAGTAAAAACTGTGGAAATACCTTCTTTCACCCTTTTTGAAGTTTCTAACACTGCTGAGATTCATTTTCAAAATAATGCCTTACTCCAACTGCTTCTGAAGATTGCAAAGACTAAATAAAAAGCCTGCTATTACTGATATTATTATTATGAACAAGATTGTTTCTACATCATTCAAATCACTATTTTGGCTCTACAAATTTTCCATAGTACTCCAAAAGTGTTATACAAGTACAGAAGGTAAAATCAGTGAATAATCTCTTTATGACCTTTTAATGCTGATCAGAAATCTCTTTACTGCTACTATTTGGAAGGAAAAGAAATCATTTGGAGACCAATATGTTGTGTATTAGAAGGATTCCCACAAATCCACCACTTCAACTTTTACACACAGACAGTCACCCCAGGCAACAAGCATGTCCCCTGTCTCTCTTCTCTCCCTGAAAACAAGACCCATTCTACTTTCTGCCCTTGATACAGTTAGTTAGAATAAGTGTTTAACAAATTTTATGAAACACTATTGTCAATGTCACTTCAATTATAGACTAAGATGCAAAGCTCACATACATTTTTTCATAAATTTTAACTTTTACACTTCAGACTTTCCTGTTATTAAGAGAATCAATGTTTGACCATGTTATGGCATTAATATGAAGTGTCCCCAAAAAACTCATGTAGTAAGAGCAGTAACTTCATCAAATAACCTCATCAATGGATTAATCTATCAATGAGTTCATTGTTGAGGGAGGGCCCAGTTGCAGGAATTAGTTTGCTAGAAACACGCCTTTGAAAGGCCTGTATCCCTTCCTCTCTCACTCTGCCTTGCTCTCTCTTCTTCCTGGTTGCCATAAGGTAAGGAGATTTCCTCAACCGTGTGTTTCCGCCTTGGAGGTAGCTGACCATGGACTAAAAGCTCTAAAACTGTGAGCCAAAATATATCTTTTCTCCTTTAAATTACATATTGCAGGCATTCTGTCCCCAAACAGACAGATGATTAACCAGATCCAGAAATCCCATCTACATGTTGAGGACATGTTAGTTATAATGATGGCTACCAATCATCAAACATATACTATATAGAAGACACTATGGTTTAAGCATTACATTCATTATTTCATATAGTCGTCATACTACTATTAGGTAACAGTAATAGTTATTTTCATTATAAAGGCAAAATTAAAGGTAAAATAACTTTCTCACATTCACCTGTCTGGCTTCAAAGTCTGTCATTTGTTGTTTGACACAGGATCTCACTATATAGTTCAAGCTGGTCTTGAATTCATTATGTAACCCAGGCTAGCCTGAAACTTGTGGAGATCCTCCTGCCTCAGCCTCCTGGATTATAGGCATGCACCATGCCTGGTAAAGCCTATAACCTTAACTGCTGCCTTTGAAGTCTAAAACTGAGGCACAGCATCTAGTCTTGAATTCAAAGATACTTAAGTCATTTATCTTTGTTTCTCAAATTTTCCAAATGTAAAATGAGAACAATACCTATTCCTTTCTTCATCAGGACTCAGCTCACGAGATATATACTCATGGCATCTTACCTGAGAGCTAAAAGAACCATAGCCAAAATGGTGTACAAGAATGTTCATGGTAGGCTTATTTGCATAGCCCAAAAGTGGAAAGTACCCAAATGTCTGTCAGTGAATAAACAAAATGTTGTACATATACACAATGCAATATTGTTGTCATAAAATGTAATGAAGTACTGATATAGAAATGAAGCTTGCCAACATGATGCTAAGTGAAAGAAACCTTGCACAAAGGCCACATATGATATGATCTTGCTTATATGAAATGTCCAGAATAAGCAAATTTATAGACACAGAAGGTAGATTAGTGGTTACAAGTTATACGGCACACAGGCTGGGGTTATAAGGAATGAACAGAGGCTGCTAATGGGTACAGGGTTTCTTTGGGATAAGGTGAAATATTCTCTAGTTGGATAGTGGTAATGAATGCCTAACTACATAAATCAGTAAATATCACTGAATCACATACTTTATAATGTAAATTTTATAGTGTGTTAATTACATGTCAATAAAGCTATATTTTTGCTTTTTAAAGAAGACCCACCTTGGAGGACATGGAAGCCAAAGGAAATAAATGTAAAAATACTTTGGAAAAAAAAAATCACAGAAATGTTATACTTCATGCTTATAAAAGCACTATATAAACTGCACAAAAACCACTGCCTTCTGTACCTTTGGCGGTTGCTAGCTTGTCCTAGGACTTAGAAGAATCTTAATTCACTTCAAAACATTTAACTCCCCTAGTCCTGAATATCCAGCTAACAAAATGCAATATAAACTTGCGGATGCAAACCCCAGGGACTTGGCCTGCTTAAAATTAAAAAGGAAAAAAAGCCACAAAACCATGCAGGGCCTATATTCAAGGCCAGAGAAGATAACATTTTCACTAGATCTAGATTCTTGTTATCTTCTTATATTCCTTTGGAAGTACCTTATCAAGATTGTCTATAGTGAAATTAGGTAAATGAAACAACTAAAAAAACATTGCTTTAGTAAACATCAACACTGAAACATCCTTACCTTTACTTGTGGCTCATCTTAAACACATTATCCCATTTTCATTTCAAAAGTGCTTGCAGTCAGCACAAATTCTTACCCCCATTTTAAAGAAAGGAAACCAAGGTCATCCAGTTAATGAGAAGCAGACTTGATTCCCAGTTCTGTGGGGTTTTTTTACCTGTTATGTTAGCATTTGTTTTCTCTTTTCATCCATCTTGGTCGCCTATTGTTCACCAGATTACAAAGTAGGGTTGAGCCTGCACTTTTAACATGAACTTGGCCCCCAAGAAATCTTAATCTCCCTCTTGATCATTCCAATTTGTTGTAGTCATTGCACAAATTTCCATAAGAAACTTTATCAGAGTTGCACTAAATGTTTTTGAACCAATCAATCAATCTGGCCAGACCTTTTCTGGTTAATCTTTCATGAATAATGAATGGCTCAAAACTCTTTAATTTTTTACAAGGATAGAAATTCCCTTCCCAGTTGCTGAAAAAAGTTTTAAAACTGATGAAAAAACACTGTGACCAAGCTTCTCACCAGATTGGATTCTCTAGATGGGAAATCTACAGGTAAGATCTTCAGTTACTATTGGAATCCTCACTTGTCACATGTATTCTAGTTCCCTGAAACTCATTATTTTCTAAGTTATTAGCATTATTTTCTTTCTTTCTCCTTCTCCCTGCCCCACTGATAGGATTTACTTCACACTTTCTTATGAGACATGAGGTTTTCACCAGTCTCAGCATACCAACTGTAAGCAACTATGACACAAAAAAGTAAAGTAACCTCATACATGGAAGATTCAAGAATTTGCCATGTGGCTACCCTACCTAACTCTATTTCCAAGTACCAATACTAACCAGACAGACCAGGTAGTACTCTAAGAATAGCAGTGATTAGGGATAAGAGAAGTTCTTTTTTCTCTGGTAATTAAAGAGTTAGTAGTTTTATTTTCAGTACTCAAGAAAGATCAAGGTATAATAGTAAATGTAGGCCTTAATTTTCAACAGTAGGTGGATTTACAGAGCAAGGCACTAGTAACATTACTGGATTTATTAAAAAGGTATGTTCTTTTAGATTTTTGTCCATTCAGCCCTGGATCTCCTTCTTACAGTCTTGACCTTGGTTAGTTACCTAATACTTTCATTATGCTACCCTACAAAAGTTCAAGTAAAGAATTTTTACTTGATGTGAAAGCAAAACTTTAAATACACATACTTCTTTCCATAGTTCACAAATGCAACATCAATGAAAATCATTTGCTCTAGAAAATTCCCCTAAGCTTTTCAGTTTAGAGACAGCATTTTTAATATTCAAACTATATGAAGCCAGGAGTGGTGGCACATGCCTGTAATCCCAGCACTCAGGAGGCTGAGGCAGGAGGATCGTTGCCTCAGCTACAAAGTGAGCTCAAGGCTAGCCTGAACTGCATAGTCAGACCCTGTCTCAATTAAAAAACAAAAAAAAAACCCTAAGTGAATTAATACAATTTGACCAGAGATGACACTTTCTTTAGATAAAGGAATCACACATTTTTGAGCTGTAAGGGACAACAGAAATTATTAAGCGTTAAGGCACACGCCTATAATCCTAGGACTTGGAGGCTGAGGCAGTAGCACCCCAGTGAGTTCGAGAACAGACTGGACTATATAGTGAGCTCAAGGCCAGCCTGAACTGCATAGTGAGACCCTCTCTCAAACAAAACAACCCCAAAAAACCAAAGGCATCAAAAATCAAAAGGTTTTTTTTTTTTAAATGATAGTGCTGGGGATCAAACCCAGGGCCCTTGTGCATGCAAGGCAAGAACTCTACCGCTGAGCAACATCCCCAACCCACAAAATGGCTCTTATGCTATATGCTGGACTGGCATTATACAGAAGCTTTTTTTCAAATTTTAATATTTTACACCATAAATTCTTAACTTGTGACTTACCCTGCTGAGTTGATCTAGTAACCTTTGGTTCTGTTCTGACAGTTCCTGGACAGCCCGTGTTTTTTCTCGATCTGCCTCCCGAAGATGAACCTGCTGCCTCTCCAATTCATCTTGTAGCTGTTTCACATCACTCTCCAGCTCAGACACTCGGCCTTCCCACTCCCCTTCTCTGTTCTCAAATCGTCTTCTTAGTTCATGTTTTTCTTGTTCTAAGTGCTGGGTGAAAAGTGAAAAGGATTTAAAAACTGTTAAAAATTCCACAGCCTTTTGTTTCCTTTCTTTTTACTCTTTCCTAACTGTTTTCCCACTGAGCACAACAAAACACCCTGCCATACAGGACAAGTTGTCCAATTCAGCTACAAAAATATTACCTCCTTCCAGAGAAAGGAACTGATTTCACAGAGAAAACATCATTCTTATTGAAAATATTTAATGTTACATTTAGTTTCCTGGACACAAGGCTTAGACTTACAAATTCACTTGAAATTTACCAAGCCATCTAATCTATTGGTGAGCTATACACTTAAACAACTAAAAGTAAGTCCCATACCCAAAATGCTGATTAGGTTAAGGAGACTTCTTTTGAAACATTTATTATACATGGATTAATGTCATACTCTTACAATCATAGAATTTTTAAAGATGGAGCAAATTCCTGCAATCCTTTAGCTAACAATCTTTCCTTACAAATGAGGCAACACAAGTAGTCCAGTTAGTTGTTCAATGTCTATACTATTAAATGGTACACAGTGATTTGTGTGTAAGTCATGTGACTCTGTTCAGTGCTCTAAATCATAGGTTAACAAGTATCTGCTGCTATACATAGCACTGTATTTCAAAATCATTAAGGCAAGTTCAGGTTCAGGCCTACTTTTAAATCAAATCCTTATCAACAAGACTTCCATATTTATGTCTGATCCATTCACCTATTCTTGAGTGCTTACTATGGGACAAGCACTTTATAAGGTGACATGAATAAAACAGACATGGTCCTTGCACTTGGACTGATAAGAGTGATAAACTGCATGTGAGAAATGAAATGCAAAGTATAGATAATAATTAAAAAGGGCAAATATGTTCTTTTACTCAAAAACATAGTATGAGCTGGATGTGATGCTTGCTGAATCCCAGTATTCTGGGAGGGTGAGGTAGAAGGGTCTCAAGTTTGAGCCCAGCCTGCGTGACTTTGTAAGACTCTATCTCTGGGAATGTAGTTCAGTGCAAAGGCCTTGAGCTCAATCCCCAGTACAAAAAGAAAAAAAAAGTACCATCAGCAAGTGTTATGGTTTCTGTCTGCATGTCCCCCCAAATCCTCAGGCAGTCTGGAGCGGGCTTCTAGATTTTTGATTGATCCATAGTCCAGTGTGGGATTATGGGTGTGAGTGCTACACTTGCCCCAGGGGGGCAGGTAGTTTGTGTACAATACAAGGGAGGGAAGGAGCCTTGCTCTCTGCTGCTCCTCCCTTTTGCTTTTGCTGCTTTTGCTCCTTTCCTGCTGCCATGAACTGTTGCCCTCTGCCATGTGCCACTCTGCCTTGGAGCCAGCTGAGTACAGACTGAAATCTCCACAAACTGTGAGCTAAATAAACCTTTCCTTCCTTAACGGTGGGTGTTGGGTATTTTGTCTCAGCCATGAGGGGAAAGCACCCAAGATAGAAATTGGTACCTGAGCAGTGGGATCGATGCTGTGACTGTACCTGACCATGTGGTTCAAGAGCCTTTCGAAATGGCTTGTGGGAAGTGTTTGGAAAGGTTTGGTGATGTCACCTGAAAGATCAAGTCTATACTTCAGTGTAAGTTAAAGTAACAATCCTCAACCTTTGCTGCTCTCAGTAAAGTTCTGATGTAACTATTCAAAATATACTGACCCAGAACCTGGTTCCTAAGATTGTGATCTGGTTAAGAATTGAAATATATATATATAAAATTTTATAGGAAAATTCTGATGCACTGAGATTGTTTCCACAGCTTCAAATGAGCACCTAAATCTTCAGAGAACTTGGTCATCTCTTCTTAGGAAGCTACATTCTTGTTCCACTGAAATTCTCACCTATTAAAATATATTTTGACATGTTTTTGGAAAGCCTCAAGGGCCAGCTTATTGTCATGCAAGAAAATCTGTCCTATTTCTTCACATTTGAGGCATGTCTAAAAAGGAGATTATCCCATTACATCCTACCATCATTTCTCACTTTGCTGAGTGACTTGTGAATGTTTCTGAAAGTCAAATTCAATCCTAAAAGAAAATTTGCCATGATTAAGTGCAGTCAAAAGAAGATGCCAAAAGATAAAAATGGCAATCCAAAATTAAAATGCTGTGCATATAAGCAAAGGCAGTTTTCAATGAAAACTCCAAGTTGACCACTTTATGGGGATCACTCATTTGGCTGTAGCCACTGTAATATATTTGTTGAAAAAATCACATAACTTCACATTTATACATCAGATAATCTCAGTGTGGAGCATGTTAGAAAAACAATGACTAGGGAAGGACTTCTCACCAACATGAGATTTTTTTGTTCTCTTTCCCTAACCGTGCTAAACTTCTAAAACGGAGAATGTTTTAACCATTGTAGAAACTTCATAAAGACAGAGTGTGAGCACAAACTAACTGCAATCCTAAAACCATGGTAGCTGGCTTTACTGAATTTTTCCAAATGAAAAAGACTGAGCAGAAGGCAGTAACAAGAACTCAGTAATCAGTGTTGCTGAGAGGCCAGATAAATTAGGCTTGTGTTCTAAAAGAACAGAGAGACTTAAAAATATTCAGCAAACAGCTGCTAGTGAACACCCTAACCAAGCAACTAAAACAATCCAATCCACTTGAGGGGAAGGACTGAAGACAGGTGGTACTGATCAGTCTAATCTGTCCTGATATTTCTGTGGGGGTTTTGTTGGTAGTGGGAAACAAACTCTGGACCTTGCACTTGCCAGACAGGCACTTGCCAGGCAGGTACTGTGCTGCTGAGCTATATCCCTAGCCCTCTGATATTTCTTTAACATGAGACAAATCCTCTACTTCAGATTTCCTAACCCTTTGACAAAATCAAGACTGCCCTATTAAGAAACAGACAAAATTTAGTCTTTTGTACAGAATTTAGCCATTGGTCTACTCAGAGAAGAAAGGTTTCTCTTAGACCTATATTCTCTTGTAAGTTATAAATTAACTAGGGTTTACTACCCTAGGCAGAATATCAAGAAGTATGGAGGTCAGACTGTTTATGCTTGCCTTTGTTTCTCAAGGTTATATAGTATTTTAAAACAATATCAAAATTATAAAGGTGATCAAAACAAGAAAAGTCTAATAAACTGGCACAACTAAGAAAAATCTAGTCAGGTGTGGTGGCGCACGCCAGTAATCCCAGCACTCAGGAGGCTGAGGCAGGAGGATCGTTGCAAGTTCGAGACCAGCCTGGGCTACAAAGTGAGCTCAAGGCCAGCCCTGAACTGCATAGTGAGACCCTGTCTCAAAAAAACCAACAAAGAGAAATCTAAGGAGATATGAACACTAAATGTAATATAGTGTCCTGGATGGGATCCTGGCAAGAAAAAGGCATAAGGTACGGGCTAAGGAAATTTGAATACTCTAAGGACTTTACTTGGTAATAATGTACCATTAATTTTGGCAAATGCAGCATACTAATATAAGATCTCATTAAGAGAAAACAATGTAGATATCCAGAAACACTCTACTATTTTTCCAATTTTTCTATAACTCTAAAATCAATCATTTTAAATAACAGTCTATTTAAAACTCCAAAACCACAAAAGTTGTAAGTCTTTACCAAAATTGATTTTGGGGGCAAAGATTATTCTTATTTTTAAAAATTTTATTAGTACATATTTGCAGTTCATAATGATTACATTCATCATACGGAGTTGGTACATGTATGCAACGTAACTGAATTCTTTTTATGTCCCCTCACCCTTTCCAGAGGAAAAAATTTAAAAAGTGAAACTATTCTCCTAAATCTAGTATATGGTTCTTGAAATACACAAGGAAAAAAGTACTGTTTTCCAAGAGGACCAAGAACTGAATGTAAATCAGGATCCTTGGGTTTGCCCCTCTAAATCGGGTTTGCACCTCTAAAACTGGTAGAGACTCACTTTCATCAACTTCCCTCCATCTTAACATATAGTAGTAGACAGCTGGGCATAGTAGCACCATGCCTGCAATCCCAGTACTCAGGAGGCTGAGGCAGGAGGATTGCACATTCCATGCCAGCAAGGGCAGTTTAGCAAGACCTTGTCTTACAATTTAAAAAGGACTGGGGGTGTAGCCTGGTGGTAGAACTCATGAGCACAAAGCCCTAGGTTCAATCCCTAGTGCTGTGACTCCAAATAGAACCCCGAGAATTGGCCTAGAGGAAGAAGACAAAAATATAATTGAGGGTAGAGACTACATTTGCAGTAAGAATCTACTTTCTGCCATAAAGAAAAAAGGGGAATCCTACGCTACAATACATTGTTTTTTTTTTCTCCGGTGCCGGGAACCGAACTCACGACCTTGCATTTGCCAGGCAGGCGCTTTTGCCACTGAGCTAAATCCCCAGCCCCTACAATACATTGTTAATCCCCAAGGAATGAAAGTATATTAATGCAAGTTAGTATATGAGTTTACAGTCTAGGAAAAACTAAGGTTTTGGCTGGATGTAAATTTTTGAACCAAAGGGCTAATTACAAATGCAAAGAAACAAAAAAGCCTTAAGAACTTTAAATGTATGAAATGAATAAAATATAGTCTGTTTAATTCAAGTTTAGAAAAAACGGCCACATTTTTCTACCTAACCCAAGTTTTCATTTTAACCCTGAAGATGTAAAAATAAAAAAATCTATATTAACTTCTAAACTACTAAAGACTTTAAGTAGTATGCCTTTTGAGGAAATAGCTTGGATCGAGTACTTTATGCCTGAAATGACAAGATAAAATCTTGGATTTGGCTGGATATGGGAGTGTACATCTGCAATCCCAGAACTCTGGGAGGCTGAGGTAAGAACATTATAAGTTCAAGCCCAGTCTGGGCAACTCAGTGAGATCCTATCTAAAAAACGAAAGAACTTAAAAGGGCTGGGGATGTAGCTAAATCCAAAAGCCTTGGGTTCCATTCCTAATAACAACAAAAATCTTGGGTTTGGCATAGAGAACTGGAAAGACACTGATATTAACTCATGACTAGGTAGAAAAGATCTTGAAAATGGCTTGTTTGTCCTGAAGTTAGAGAAGTATCAATTTTGTTCGGGAATATAGCTCAGTGGCACAAGCACCTGGTCAAGGTGGCAAGTGCAAGGTCCTGAGTTCGATTCCCAGTACCACAAAGAAAAGTATCAATTTTGTTTTTTTTGAGACAGAGTCTCACTATATAGTTCAGGCTGGCCTTGGACTCACTATGTAGCCTAGTGTGGCCCCAAACTAGCAGTGATCCTCCTGCCTCAGCCTGCGATCACAGGCATGTGCCACCTTGCAGCAGAAAGGTATCGATTTTGAAGTTGTGATGGGTCTAAAATAAAACTAAATTAATAGCACAGCCACTGTTCTCCGAGTCCACTCATATTTACCTTTCAAACCAACCTGTGAAAAAAATATGTCTGACTCCCAATATCTAACAGCTTTTGGCAAGTTATAAATCCTTACAGGCTGGTTCTCTACTCCCAAATGTTTTATTTAATTGAAAATACAGGAGCTGTGTTAAACTTTAGAAAGCACTTTATCTAAACAGATAAAGTTCAGATACTTTATCTACCAGATTGCTCATGAAATATACTGTAGAGAAAATTCACTTGCAGGTATAAAATGTAGTAGTACCATGTAAATCAGGTTTATCATTCTCATACACGACACTAGAATTAACAAGGGCTGGGGTCGGGGTAGCTCAGGGGAACAGTGCCTGCTTGAAGCCCTGGGTTTGACTCTCAAAACCACTACATACACAAAAAGCAACTAGTGGCCATATTTTATAAGACATGTTCAAGTGTACACTAAAAAAAAACCACCTTAGAGATCAGTGCAGAAATGTACACCTGCAATCCCAGCTACTTAGGAGACTGAGGTAGGACTGTTTGAGGCCAGGAGTTGGGAGGTCAGCCTGGGCAACATAGTAAGCCTCCATATCAAAAAAGACAAAAACGACCTGGGCATATGGTGCACACCTGTAATCCCAACATTCTGATGGGCTAGGCAGGAAGATGGCAAACTTGAGTGCAGCCTGGACTGCACTGTGAGATCCTATCTCAAAAACAAAAAAAAAAACTAAAAACAGACTGGGGATGTAGCTCAGTGTGAAGCCTCCTGGGTTCAATCCCAGTACTGGAGAGAAAGGAGAGAGAGGGGGAAGGGGAGAGGAGGAGAGGGAGAGAGAGAGAGAAAGAGAGACAGAGACAGAGAGACAGAGACCGATTGATTTCATCATTTTCAAATATACTTACAACTAAACTAGCATAAACTTTAAAAAGTTATTTTTTATCAGGTGAACAAAAATTTAAATTTAGTTATAAGTTATAGTAAAATACACATAACACAAATTTACTATCATAACCATTTTTAAGTGCACTGGTCAGGAGCATTAAGTACACTCACAGTGTACGTGAGAACAACTTCCAGACTTTAAAAATAAATTTTTAACACTGCCGTTCATATGCTGACCTGCAGAACAGTGAAGATCTTAACAGTTTAAGAAGTTTGAACTATTTTATTGTTGCCCATTGAGTCAACTACAAAATACCAAAGGTAATTTATTCTTTTACAACAAAACTTTTTTGTTCAGCAGAATTTTGAAATCTTTTTCCTTTGTTGAAGAAATGTGTAAAGGCTGCATATGGAGACCAGGATGTGTGTAACTACACACTCAGGATTAGTATGAAATCTGTCACTAATCAAACTGATATGATGTTCCTTTCAAGTTAGCTGTCTCTCTAATCAAGTCCCCCGCTGAAGGAATTTCCAATCACAAGTATAAATCTCTGCAGTAGTACTTCTTTTCAGAGTTGTGTTACTGAATCTCTTTCGGAAAGAAAGGACACCCTTTTCTCTCTAGACCTCTACTTCAAGTGCAAATTAAACAATTCAATTCATTAGGTTGCTTTTTGGCAGTGTACTCACAGGTCTCACAAACGACTTCTCAGAGACATATCTCGGGAGCTCATCAGCTGGCAGACCTAGTTAACAGGCCAACTGAACTACAGGGCACTCACTGGTTTCCTTCTTTACCCTGAGTTTTCTTTTGATAACGTCACTAGACTACAGACACTTAAATCTTACTAATCCACATTCTGGCTGTTTAGTGATATGGAACCCAACTAGGATCAATTTCAGACCTTATTCAATCTGCAACTATTTTTTGTTGTAACTAAAAATGAAAAGAACTGTAACTAAACTGGGTAATAGTAAAGGCAGAGTCTGAAAAGGTTCAGCTTTGTTTCCACTGCTCATTAACGACCACCTCCCCTTCCTTTTTCAAATCACCCTAATTTTAGAAACGTTAGCCTTCTGTACTGCATTCAAGGCTCTTTTCTAGTTAAGAGGAAAGAAAACAAACGAGTATAGGTCGGACAGACTTTGATCCAAGACACTGGCAGAAAATATTACACAAACTTTAAAGGTATTTGTAACAACAGTTAGGAGAAATATGGTTTTTATAGGTTGTACCTCTCATCCAACTGCAGGCCTGAGACCTCAAACACAAAAAAGTACTGCTTAAATACACATAAATTTTGAGGCCCACATTAAACCCACTACCAGTGGTCACATGTTGAGCCTTGCCTCGCCTGATTTCGGCAATGGAGCCACATTTCTTAATCCCTTAGTATTTGAAGACTATATAAAGCTCCTTTAGGGGCACTTGTTTCCCACAACTCTGAGCTGCCAGGAAGTTAAGACAAGGGCATCTAGAGGCCTTCATGCCAAAACTGGAAAGCTTTAGATTAACACCCTGATTAGAGATTAACTACTCTGAAAACCTGAAGCATATTTTAAATGCTTCTCGACTTTCTCATTTCTGTGTGCAGACATCCTCTCAGCGCTGTATAAATTAGTCATACTGTATGCTCTATTTTCGATGCAGTGTACAGTACATATATAGAATGGCCCACAGCGCTGGGAGTTGTGCAGGGACCCATCTGCTGTGGGCAAGGTGGGAAAGTCAGGTGGGTTCCATGGATGCTCTGATCTGATAACTAGAAATCCTCCCTCCTACCTCCTATTCCGGAGGATTTTCCTCGATGTGGGGTGAGCATGGACGTGGCGGGGGTAGGGTGAGTGCCTCCCCAAACTACCCCGGGCTGGAACGGTACCTGAGCTTCCCACCCATCCTGGGAGGTCCTCACCTCCAGCTTGTCGGTCAGCTCCTTGTGCATCTGCTCATACTGCCTGCTCATGTCCTGATTCCTCTCAAGCAGCGCCTTGCCCAGCCGGGCGGCCAACACCAGATCTTTCTCCTTCTGCCTGATCACTGACAGCAGCTCAGGGTCCTGGGCAGGAGGCGGCTGCGGACCGGTCCCCTCGGCCGGAGGTCCGGGCTCGGCCTCAGGATGCTCCCCGGGATCGGACGGCCGCTCCCCGGCCGCCAGCAGCGCCAGCTCCTCCTCTAACGCCAGTTCCAGCTCCCCGGGGCCCCCAGGGAAGGAGACGAGGGCGGCGGCGGCGGCGGCGGCAGGACCCCGGACCGTGTCCCCGGCCGCAGCGGGCAGCTCCATGCAGCAGGCGCTGTCCGGCTCGGCGGGTGCTGAAGCGCGGCCGGCC